AATTTTAAAAATCTCATAACTAAGCCAAAAACGCATTAATTTCAATTCGAAAATCGGCAGTATGCTCATTTTTAGCAGGTTAATAAAACTGCATACTCCATTTAAAAAGTGAATTTTTGGCCGATTTTTGCAAATTTTCATGATGTAACCCCTTTCATTATTTTCCGAAAAATGGAAAATTTCTGAACAAATTTTTTTTCGGCCGGAGATGACTAAAAAGATTCGCCTGTTGATGCTGATCAAGATTATATACGATTTATAGGGTCGGAAATGGCTCCTTTGAGCTTTACAAGCTTCTGACTAAAGTTAGAATACCCTGAAAGGGTATAAATTATTTACATAAGTTAATACTTTCTTACAAATTATTCAGATAAAAAATATGGGAAAACTTCTCAAAAATCAAGACTCCTTAACCAGATTTTTTTCAAGTGTTGAAGCTTAAAAAGAGAAACGAGTTGCAAAAAAACGGCAGCATAAAGGCAATCAAAAGGCTGCCACATAAATTTATGAGCTGCGTCAGCAAAATCCCCGCTTGCTCTGGCCAAGAAACCTGGCTTTAAAGTGAAAAAAATACGAAGCTATATGGACATGGACGCGTGCTGCTCCGTAAAAGGGGTAACCAGAGGGATAGACAGAGAGGGGGAGGAGGAGCCTCTGCCCAGGGGAGATCCCAAGGAGTTGGCAGTAGTAACCAGGAAAAGGAGCCTTCGCTGAGCTGTGGCCAAAACTGGTTTCACGGTTTATGTTGCCATGTTTTTGGCCCTCTCTGCCGAGTCCCTGCTAAATTTAGCACGAGCTGGCCATCAAGCTCAGCTGGCCAAGAGGAGTCTTAACCGAAGGCACCGAAGAGTCGAGAAGCTAAAAAGCTGGCCCTTAGCCCAGGCCAAAATAGTTTTTTGGACTTTGTACGCCAGCTTGTTTGTTCTTTGACTCGCTCGATGTGTTGTCTCTTAGCTTGGCTTAGCCAAGTTTGCGCGCCATTTTTCTGGCCCAAAGCATATTGGCAATTGCAGTTTGGCGTTGCCCATCTAAGTACGTGTGGATGTACATACATATGCCTATATACATAGATGGATTGTGCATATGACCAAAGTTGGACATTGGCCACGACAGGGCACTCACATCGACGATGGTTTAAGTTAGAAGAAGGAGAAGGTTGGTAGAAGAAACTAGGGTTTTATACCAAGAAATTGAATATACATATACATCGAAGAAGTTCAAGTATTCAAGTATTTTTATATATTTAAATTGTTAACTCTAACTTAAAACCTTTTAAAAACAAACTTTGACTACTGTAAGGGCCTGTTTTCTTAAGATTTCCCTTTGAAGTAACTATGATCAGTAAGTATCAATGAACTTAATGAAACTATGATCAGTAAATAACTTAATCAGCAAATTAACTATGAGCAGTAAGTAAGTATGATCAATAACTAACTATGATCGGTAAGTATCAATGAACATTAAGTAACTATGATCAGTAATTAACTTTGAGCAGTAACTCTGAAGAGTAAGTATCTACAACCAGTAAGTATTTATGATCAGTTAATATCTATAATCAGTAAGTAACTATGATCAGTAAGTATCTATGACCAGTAAGTATGTATGATCATTAACTATCTATGATCAGTATGTATGTATGATCAGTTACTCACTTTGAACACTTGTAAACAATGACTTGCAACTTTTGTATCACAACACATTTCTGAGACTTGGCAGGCAGCAGGCACTTCGTTCCGGGGAGGTGAGAACCAGTTGAGAATCATATGCACAGATATGCGAGATTTGATTTGGAACAAATTTAAGAGCATTTCAATGAAACTATGGATTTATTCTTCTATATAATTTTACAAGTATATTAATCGGATCATGGCAAATCGGTGAACTATATATATATATATACATATATATAGTTGCTATAGGAACAATCGGAAAATATTAAAAACAAAAGTAGAACATTTCTAGTTTTCAACAGATTTTCATCAAATTTGATGTATAGCCATTATATATTAATCTTGAATTTTGTGTAAAATTTAATGTAAATCGGAGTACTATATCATATAGCTGCCATAGAAACGATCGTTAAAAAAGAGGAAAATGCAAATATATATAATATTGTATGTTTCCTAAGCCTAACTGGGCTTGGTCTGATCCCAAATCGCATTAGCACTCGAACTCACACTCTCCTGTGGCTATTGTTTGTCTTTTATTTTGTTCAGATTGTTTGTTTTGTTGGCGTTGCCTTTCGTTTACTTTGCTTTGCTTTGCCTTGGTTCCTTGGCTTGGTTTGTTTGTTTATTTGTTTTGGTCTGGTTTTGGCGCGTGGACTGTACCAAGATCAACATCAGCAGCAGCAACTGCAACTGCAGCAACAACAGCAACAGCAGCAGCAACAACTGCAACATCAGCAGCAACAGCAGCAGCAACTGCAGCAGCAACAACAGCAACTGCAACAGCAACAGCAGCAGCAGCAGCAGCAGCAACAGCAGCAGCAACAGCAGCAGCAGCAGCAACTGCAGCAGCAACAACAACTGCTGCATGTTGCACAGTGCTGTGCTGACTGTGCTGTGCAGGCAGCTTAATTGACGCGCCAAGCAACGTCGTCAATTAATAATGGCAACAACCGACGACCAACCGGGCCAACTCCCCTCAGCTTCCCTTTTCACCGATTTCCTTGGCTTTTCTCCAGAGAGGAGACAATCGCCACGACAAGCAGCATAAATTGCAGTTGCCATTAACAACAGCAACTGCAACAGCAGCAACATCAACAGCAGCAACATCACCAAGTCAATGGAAAATTTATGTTTGACTCGTGCCCAAGTCAGCAGCTGAACTACACGGCAATTATAAATATAAAGCCTTAAAAATATGATTTATATATGAAATATAGTAAATAAATTAATCAACAGAATATATATTAAACAAATATATATGAATATATGAATATATACATGAATATATATATGAATAAATGTATATAAATGTATATGTTAACGGAAACTTTTAGATGCTTGAGCAATGAGAAAACCTATCTCTGAGCTCAATGAACTCCCCTAACCCTTTGTTAATTAAATTTCTTTCGAATTTCCCTCAGTGAAACCCTTTCCTCTCTGCTCCTGAACCCCCTTTAAGAATCTCTTCCATAGAGTTTGGTTTATCATCCTCATCATGATCGTCCTCGTCATTGGCCATGACGTTAGCCTTCGCATCAGTGATTCCCAAATGAAGGAATGTGATTGCAGATCAAATTACAAAATAAAAAACGGATAAGCAAAAGGTTAAAAATAATAAAGAAAACGAAAATAAAATAAGGCTCTTAAGGAGTCACATCCTTTTGTGCTGGCTAATCTCATGGCCTGATGGGATTAGACTCATCAGGCTCTTCATCAAAAAAGAGAAGGTAACATGTTTAAGGATACCTTCAGTTAAGACTATTAGCCATTGAAAGCATTCAATTATTGCCACTTGAAGCAGAAGTCTTTTGTCTTCTAAGAGGATTTATGAGCATTAGGTTTTTGTTTTTCTTTAAATTTGATTTTTACTCCTTATAAGCTGTACATAATCTTTAATCTTTTATCTTTACCATGGTATTAGGATGGTTTTGGTGTTTCTAATTGCGACTCAAAGTAAGTTATTAATTGTTTCTAAAAGTATTTGCTACTGACATTGAGTTTCTATAAGTACATAGAAGTCTAGGAAGCCTATTCATTAATTATTTTCTCATATTCATATTTTCTATGATAATAAAAGTAGTCATAGCTTAACTAACAGATATTCAAGAGATCGAATTGCTTATTTTCACATTTTTAAGAATAATTGAAGAACTAATATCTTAATTAAAAATCAATCATAACTAAGCCAAAAATGCATTAATTTTAATTCGGAAAGCAGTTCTATATTCTATTTTATTAGGTTAATAAATTTGCATACTCTATTTAAATGGTAAAAATTTTAATTTGTTAGCCAATTTTTATCAATTTTAACGATGTAACCCCTTGTACATTTTTTTTTAAATTGTGAAAATTAAAAAAATATATATATTTGTACAGTACATAGCTAGTTCGACTCGGCTGGTGATGCTGATCAAGTATATATATGATTTATAGGGTCGGAAATGGATCCTTCATAAATTTTCAAGCTTCTGACTAAAATTGTTATACCCTATTTCAAAAGACATTTCTTTAAATTTAGTATAGTGTCATTATCTAAAAAACTGCTATTATTATCTTGAAAACCATAATATATTACAATTAAAATACTAAAACAACAAAATTATATTAAAAATAATAACTTTGGCGTGTGCAACAAATATAAATTCAATTCTATTGAAAGGTCATAAGATATAGCAATGGAGTATTTAAGACAAAAACCATAGTTGATCATATTTTAAATTTAATTCTCCGATGAAACCCCAAAATCTGTTGTAATCAATCCAAGTTCTTATTTTTTATACCAATATATACAAAATATACAATGTACAACAAGGAAAAAACAACAAAGTGTATTTGCTGAAGTAACAGCCTCCCTGGAGGCTGCCTTTCTCTTTCTCCTTTTGCCAGATTAGAATGGCTGGAGATTCTCCTCCATCTCCTCCAGCTTCTCCATCTCCTTCATCTCCTGCTTCCCCCTCATCTTCCAGCTTTCCCCGCCTGCCGCCTGGCTAATTACGAGGCTAATCAAAGCTCGATGCGAGTCAATTAAGAGACGGCGGCAATCCGTGATCGGTGGCTCCAATGAGGATCTCCACAAGCAATGACAATTGTTGTACCCGAATGGAGGGAACGGGAGCGGGATCTGAGCCGCTTTTGGGTGCAGTGCAGCTGGACAACCGGTTTGTCGCGTGCTCCATGCTCCATGCTCCATGCTCCATGCTCCCTTTCCTCCTTGTCCTCTATCTCTGTCGTTGTGCTTTGCACAAAATGAATTAATTAAAGACGACAATGACGACAACGACGACGAGGGACCCCAGATAGAGAGAGAGAGATCTGATCTGCCTGCCTTGCCTGGAGCAGCTGCTCCTCTAGAAATACTCCTTGGACAGATGATCGCGAGTCTGGGTCTTCCGCCTGTTGGACACACCATCCGACTCGTCCATCATGTTCTCCAGCATGCGTTCCTGGCGAGGATTCAGCTGCGCCAGGTGAATGTCCCGTGTGGCCCGAAATCGGCCGCAATTGTACAAATGCTCATTCTCCAGCCGGACATAGTTCCAGATGAAGCGTCTAAAAAAGGGGGGAACAGGATAGAGACAGGACAAGGGATACACTCAGCAAAAAATACACTTAAAGAAGGGAAACAAATGTCATGAGAAACCTCAGGAATGTCAGAAAGTGTTAATACGATTTTGATATTTGAAGCGGAAGTGGATGAATTTGATATATCACACCACCTTATATAGTCTTTAACCTTAATTTCTGACCAATTTAGTTCAGTTTCTTGGGTTATTTTGGAAGATATTCTTTAAAATAATGTAGGATACTGATGAAGAATTTTAGTAATTACTTCCCTCTTATAAAATCACTTCCCTAAGCTCACCTGGTGATCTCCGCTATGGTGGTTATGGTCCTTAGATTATACGATGCAATTAGATTATTGTAATGGATCACAAATTCCACAGCCCAGAGCCAACGTAGGCAGAAATTCTCCACAATGACAAAGTAATAGAAACCCTGGGGATACACAAGTTGCTCCCGCAGAAAGATTCGCGGACCATCCATGATCCTAAATAAGCCAAAGTCCCGCAGAACATCCCAAAGATAACCATAGGTGGTGGCCAAGACATAGCTGCCAACGAAGAGCCAGGTGTAGGGATTTCTCAAGGCACTTTCATGCTGACCTGGGGAAGGATAGGTAGAACCATTACGATCACATCAAGAGTTACCAGAACTACTACCCTCCGATCTCTGACGCAGCGTGTCGAAGAGGACCACGAAAAAGGACATCGAGTACTTTCCCGCATTTAACAAATATATCAATGACTTCGAGCCACTATCCCGGAATCGTCTCAGGCATTGGGCAAACCGAAACCAGGCGGGCAGACACCTCACAATGGGCACCATCACATCCAGATGAAAGCAGTTCAAGCTCCGCTCTCGATGCAGCCAGCAAAGCAAATAGAAACGCACCATAATGTAATGATCCACCAGGCAGTTGACCAACGAATTCAATTGATCACCCATCCAAAAGTCCGCAAAACCCACATAATGCAGAGGGGCAGTGATCACTCGTCCCAGCAACTTGATGGTCCACCAGCGAGCCTTTAAATTCAAAACGGGCAACGGCATCACCAGCAACCCGGCCAGGATCAAGATGAGGGCCAGGGGAAAGATAAAAGGATCACTTAGATGCATAACCCTGTAATGGAGGAAACCCAGCATGGACAGGGTCCAAAGGATGCCAAAGATGCAGGCAATCTCCAAAAATCTAGCCGGTTGCATATGATCCCTTGGATCTATATCAAAGATGAGGATGTGATTGACACCCGCCCGTTCCCAACCAGCCACATTGGCTGCCATATACAGATTGAAGATGACCCAGGTGAGTGGTCCTCTATACAGACTCATAAAGGTGGACTTGTCATCCGGACAAGGAGGTCGCTTCCAATCTAAATGGAGAGAAGAATAAAGAAGGTGAAACCAAATCAAGGTGGAACTATCTCTCACACACACAACCTACAACTGATTGCAGTGCCCAGGAAGAGCATTAGGAGCATGCCCAGGGCAAAGCCCGATTGGAAGACCATGGCCGGTGATGCGGGTTTACCCAATGGCGGTACACGAAGCTTGGTCATGGCCAATTGCCGATTCCCTCTGGCCAGATGAGCGGTGAATAGATCCTCCACTTCACGGATCATTCGCTGCAGATATCGACTATCCGTAAACACAGCATTTTCCACATTCTCATCGAACCAACTGCTGGCCGCTGTGGAGCGTAAATTCTTGTCGTATTTCTTGCAAATCTTCCGGAAACCAGTCTCATTCAATGTCTGATAGTTCTGGATGAGCACCAAACTCAAATAGAATTCACAGTAGGCCGTGCTCAACTGGCGATGTGTCATGATCTTTTTGGGTGCAGTTAGATCTCGACCCTGAAGCCGGGATCCTTGACTTCGATGGCTACTAATGGACACCTCGCTGCCAGTGTAGCCAGGTGCCCGGGAATAGGCCATCAGCTGGAGCTTGAGGTGACCATGCTTTCGCTTCGCCTCCATTAGCTTCTCCAGAAAGAAGTTATCCACTCGCGTCAACTCCAGTTGGCATTCCATGAGGAAACGCTCCTCGAAGGCACGGAAATAGCTTTGGATTGCATAATCCTCAACCAGAATGCTGGATGGTGCATCCTCCAGGGCTCGCCTGATCATATGCTTGAGATCCTTGAGGGTAATAGATAGGGATGGGATCAGGCACACTTTAGGGAACTCTCTCTCTCTCCTAGTTCCTTACCCCATATCGCATATACTGCTCACGCCATTCGACCGTCAAATGGGACTCGAAGGTCTTGCCAAATTTCATCGCGGAAGCGAATGAGCTTCTACGGCTCGGAGTGAACTCCGTCAGTTAGCCCGGCCCGTAACATTTGTAATTCCGTCAGCTGCTACAAGTTCTGACATCTTTCTCCCGACAATCATTGGAAATTTATGAGATTTTTTCGGAATATATAACTATAGTTTTTTCACAAATTATACCAAGGAAATAATGAAAAACGAGGGAAATCTAGGGAAATGGTGACCCCAAGTCTCATATCCTTATAGAAAAAGATAATATATTCCACAACTTAAGTTTTTAACCAAATTTGTCCATTCAAATCTTAATAACTTCTTAATGTTATTGTTTCTTGTATAAACTTTAAGAGAGAAGGTTTGACCCTTCTAAAAAGGGTGTCATAACAAGAAGACACCCTTCGATCCCTTATATATATTAACAATCTCACCTTTGTTTATCGTTTTTAAGAGAATATCTTGTTTGATATAAGAATATGTATGGTATTCAAATGTAAGAACATACCTGGAAATAAAGAAAAAAACAGTTACATTATTATTTGGTAATTCATTTGTAGAAAAGAACAAAATAAAAATAGAAATATATTATATGCATATATATAGGAAACTTACAATATACATATACAATTCAAATATAAATAAACATGGTTTTAAAGAATGAGTAATTAGAAATTAATGTATTTTTGGCTTAGTTATGAGATTTTTACATTTTGATTTGTCGGAAAATTTCATATAAAAATATTGTTAATATCGGTACAAAAATGGTAATGGGCCTTCAGTCAGAAGCTTAAAAGAAAGTGAAGGAGTCATTTCCGACCCTATAAATTATATATTTTCTCGATCAGCATCTACAGGGCTTTCTTTCTAGCTTTATCCGACCGAAAAAAAAAATTTTCAGAAATTTCCCATTTTTTTTTTTTAAGGAAAGGGTTACATCATGAAAATCTGCAAAAATCGGGCAAAAATTCACTTTTTAAATGGAGTATGCAGTTTTATTACCCTGCTAAAAATTAGCATACTGCCGCTTTCCGAATTAAAATTAATGCGTTTTTGGCTTAGTTATGAGGTTTTTCAATTTTGATTTGTAGTAAAATTTGCATATAAAAATATATATTTTTAGGTTTTTTTCCATACCTACACTATTATTAAAATTAAAAACAATGATTGTTCTTTAACTTTTTCTTTCAATAACTATTTATATAATAATGTAAGATCTATAATATATAATAATAGTTAAATTAACTTAATTGAAGTCCAAGAAAAATACATTTCAGCAGTTTCCTTGCCTTCGTGTTGCTGGATATATAAATTAATCCCAGTCAGAGCCCTTGGAGTGAGTGAGTCTTTTGCGACTTCCCTCGATTGTGATTCACTTCCTCGATCTCATTATGCGTTCGCACGCTGTTCGGCTCTTCCTGTCCAGGCAAAGTTAGAGTTAAAGTTAAAGCTAAAGACAAGACACAGACAGAGATCGGGAACCAGAACGAGAACCTCCCAGAAACTGAATGAGTCAGCAGGGAAACCAAGCTAAAGAGCCCTCGACGATAAGCAAACTTGAATTACTTACTAAATATATTAATGAAATATAATTAATAGAAATAAAATGAATACAAAATTAATAATGAAAATTAAAAAACAAAAAAAGATATCAGTAGCTTTGGGCTCGTCCGGGAGTTGAACCCGGGACCTCTCGCACCCGAAGCGAGAATCATACCCCTAGACCAACGAGCCGGCTCTGACGACTGCGAACTTTTTTGCCATCACTTTCGGCTCATAACTCTCCACAGCAATCCCTTTATTCGAATTCTACTCTCTTCTCTCTGTTCTTCTGCTGGCCTTTCTCCATTCTTCCCTTTCTGAATTCTTCGCTCTTTGCGGGATCTTGCGGGGCTTCTGAGGGCAAAACAATTGCTCGAGGGTGACGACGATCAGCGCCTTGCGACGCCTACGACAAAAACAAAACAAATGCCTAGAATGGCAAAACCGCAAAATACAACAACAACAACAAAAGTTCAACAACAAATACAACAACACAAAACAACAACAACAGTGCAAAAAAAATCAACAATAAATAATAAAGAAAGCAAGCCAGGAATAAACAATTGTCAAGAGCGTCTCTTTTGTTATTCTTCTGGCAACTGGGCATAATTACGCAACAGTTTGTGGAATGCACAGAGAGAAAATGAGTAAAAAAATACATAAAAAAATATTCAACTTTAATCAAAGCAAGGTTAATATAATTTAAATAAATTTAAGTAAATTTTATTAAGTAATTTAGAAGAATTTGTTTGTTTCAGGGTTCTTTTTTACCAAGTTCTTGCAAGATCTGCTTAGAAAAATATATAAACTGATTATTTATGATTTTTATAGTTTTAATTTATTATAATTCTAAATTTAATTGACTTGCCTCAGGGAATTAAAATTAATTTAATTAGATTTTGTATATAAAAAATTCATTTAAATAAATTTACTATATATTATAAATTTATTTATTTTATTTATTTATTTATTATTTATTTAAATAACAATACTTTCAACAAGTTTCTTCTAAAAGGAAGCTTACTTTTTACTATTTAAATAATAAATACCAGAAATTTAATATATACCTTCCTGATACAGTTAAAATAATTTGTGACTTAATTTAATTTAAACTTGATTTTGTATTTATTTATTTTTTTTGTGGTTCTGGGTAGCTTTACAACTCAGTGGCAACCATAATTTATGAGCCACGCGACGCAAAGCCGTGAAACAATTAATTGACAAACAAAAAACCGGCAGTCACCGCAAATCGATTTGTTACTTTTTTGTACCATTTAACCCCAAGCCTTTAAAGTTTTAGGAAAAAAAGATTTATATATATATATATATATAATACACTTCGATTGGGGTCACAGGGTAGCGCCCCTTGGAATTTGGTTTTGAGATTCAGATTCGTAATTAATTAGTGGCCTGGGCGAGGCCTGGAGCTAGACAAATTGTCCAGAGAATTGGAGTTTTATACACTGAAAATGGGATTTATATACAATATATTGTAGAATGTATAAATATATATATAAGTATATATTTTAAGGTTTGGTCTTTGACAGAAGTGGAGCAAACATATAAGAATTGAAAGGAAAAAGAAGGTTTCTGAAAGGAATAAATACTTAAAATGGTTACTAAATGTTTGACCTTATATACAAATAAACTCAATAAAAACAAACTTAACAGAATAGATATATAAACAAATAAGTAAATAAAAAGGTAATAAATCAAATAACTAAAAAGTTAATACAAAATATATAATGCTTATAATAAAATCAATAAAAATATGAATTACTCTATACTTTGGACCTTACATAATACCCAACTAAAAGAAAATAAGGGGAAATCCCATTAAAATAATGACTTCTTTGTACAACTCACAATTAGGAATAATATTTATAATAAGACATAATCTGAATCAGAAGGAAACCCAGCCCCGTCATCGATATCATCTGCCAGCATCCTCAGTTGGCCATTTTTTTTTTTTTTTTTTGCAATCAATCAATTAACCATGGCTTCCTCTCTTTCTCCCCTCCCTCTCCCAGCGGAGACAATGTGTGGCGCCAAAGCGGAAGTAGGTCGGTACAACAGGAGGAGCATCCACCCAGTGGCAACTTCCGTTTTGATTGACCAGGCCAGCAATCATGGCCAGAACTTGTGCAACTTCCGTGAGCAAGCAATGGAAATTATGGCATCGCTGAAGCTGCAGCTTCAACTTCACCTGCAGTTATAGCTTTATCTTTAGCTCCAGCTTGGTAATTACAAATGTCAGTGCCTCAATTGGCAATTGGCAATGCGTAATTGGCTAATTGAATTGCCATTGATCGCTGGATTGAAAGCACACACATAGTCGCTGTAACTGCCACATCCGATCATTCATCTTGGCTCCATCTCTACCCCCTTCCTCCAATCTCTCCTCTATAATTAATCATTCAAACATCTTTCATGGAAAACATGATACATCTTTGGTGGTGGTCCAGTGCCCTCTGATCTCTGATCCCCTTGGCTGTGGGTGGTTCTTCGGCTTTGAAAATGCTGGCTAATGACGCCCCCGTCCAAAAGAAAGAGACCACACATCATCATCTCAATGCTCTGGGGGATTTTCTGGGGATTTCTTTCAGTTCAGTTTAGTTTTTCCAACTCCCATGCGGGATGCTAAAGAAAACTGGCTCAGAGAGCTGCAAGAAAAACCCAAAAACTTGATTACCAAAACTCGATTTGGCCACTGAAATCGCAAATTGGAAACTAGAGCAGACTGGCAAATTTATTTCGCCACATTGGGTTAATTGCTATTGAAAAAAAGAATGGAAATGATACCATTTTTATAATAATAAATATAAATTCTGTCAAATATTTAAAGAAATAAAATTTAGTTAATTAGATTTATAAGGTTTATAGATTAAAAATAAAAATACAATTTCTGGAGTACAAAAGAATCGTGCCACTGTGCCAACCTGTTGTTGGACTCGATTATGATTTTATGGCCAAAAGAAAGCACACTGCCAAAATAGAAATTGAAATACTTGTAGAAGAAAAAACATACATACAAATATACATATATATATATATATATATGTATATATTCGATATATACAGACTGAGAGAGAATCGTAGACAATGCAGGAAATGGGCATTATTCTGGGCCCGGCCATAACAATTACCTCTGCAATAACCATTACAATTACCACCACAAAACACTCTCTTGGAATTTCTAATCTCTGGCTTTCGGCTTTCACCTTTATCTCTCTTTGGGCCCGAAATTTAAACCAATTCTCTCTCTCTCTCTCTCTCGGCCAAGGAAATGGTAATGCTGGAAATGTTGGTGGAAATGTAAATGGAAATGTAAATGCCGTGTAAATACACAGCGGCGAGCGGCTAATTGAAAATGCAACGGAAACAGCGGAAGTGCCGAGCACTCGGACCTGAATTCAATTCAAATTGAATTGATTTTGGTATTTCGTTTTGGTGTTTGTGATTGATTGTGTCTCAATTAGTGACACAACACATAATGGGAAATGGAAAATGGAAAACAAACTGGTATACCTAATGAGAAAGGGACAATCGGTTCGATTAGCTAATGAGATTGCATTTAACATTTCAAGTTGGTAAACATGCAAATCGTTCGAGTTTTTGGTGGGAAAAATAATAAAAGAAACTGATCCATGGCAGTGTTAACAAGCAAATAAAAGAAAGCGCAAGTGTTGGAAAATGAAAACAAAAGCACAGAGCATATTTTTTTAGGAGAGTATGAAGCAAAAGTAAAGTAACCCAAGGTCCAAGTCATGTCACTCCCTCAAAAATATACTTGAATACCCATTAAATATAAATCATAATTATTTTTGAAACTTAATATTAAATTTGAAACCAAACTGTCTCTCCCACTCCTCTTCTCTCTCTATCTTCTTATTATGATTTTATTATTTTATTTTATTTTCTGGCAGCTGTTAATTGCTGTTCACAGCTCATCAAACAAAGGACAGACTTTATTTAAATTCGGCAATTGTTGCCAGCAAAGTCACGAAGTATCATCACCATGGTCAGCATTGTTGTTTCAGGGCCAACAAATAAAGAGGGAAAAAAGCAAATGCTAGCCGGGCTAACACCCGCATATTTAATGCTTATTCCGGGGACCGTCTTCAGTCTTGTTTTGGTAATTGTACAGCAAAAACAACAAACATTGAACAATGAACAACATCATGTTCAGCCATTCGAAAGTTGTCCATGTTCAATGAACCTTTTAAACTGTTACCATTTTTTGTGCTCACTCGCTCTCGAGTTCGTGTCCACAGTCTTTCGTTTCATCGAAAATTGAATTTCCATTTGAACGTTTCGACGCTTCGTGGAAATGTGGAAAAACGGTAGCACAAAGTGGAAAGTGTTTTCCGGTTTCCCGTCCACTCCAGCTCCTCTCCAACTTCTCCTCTACCTCGATTAATGTCTCTATTAGGCCACCTAATGAAGTTGCCCCGAAGGGGAAAAAGGTAATATTAGTTCTGAGACGACTTTGTAGGACGCCTAATGCATATTTATTTTTTGTATGCCTTTTTATTCATTTATTAAGTCTAAAATTAATTCAGGTTTTAAGGTTCTGTGGCTAGTTTTAAGTGAAATAATATCAAAATCCTTTTTTATAGCTTTTATAATTAGAAGCCGAAGTTTATATACTCTTGCAGTTTAAAACTGAATTATAAGATCAATTGTAACTAAACTTTAAATATTCACATATTTTGAATCAATAATTATCTATATTTTTATATGACAAATTGTTCGACATATCAAAGTCTAAAAATCTCATAACTAAAACGAAAATGCATTAATTTCAATTTGAAAAGCGGCAGTATGCTAATTTTTAGCAGGTTAATAAAACTGCATACTCCATTTAAAAAGTGAATTTTTTGCCGATTTTTGCAAATTTTCATGATGTAACAACCCCTTCCTTTTTTCCGAAAAATGGGAAATTTCTGAAAAAATTTTTTTCGGCCGGATAAAGCTAGAAAGAAAGCCCTGTAGATGCTGATCAAGAATATATATGATTTATAGGGTCGGAAATAACTCCTTCACTTTCTTTTAAGCTTCTGACTGAAGGCCCATTACCATTTTTGTACCGATATTAAACAATATTTTTATTTGAAATTTTTCGACAAATCAAATTTTAAAAATCTCATAACTAAGCCAAAAACGCATTAATTTCAATTCGGAAAGCGACAGTATGCTAATTTTTAGCAGGTTAATAAAACTGCATACTCCATTTAAAAAGTGAATTTTTGCCCGATTTTTTCAAATTTTCATTATGTAACCCCTTTCCTTTTTTTTAAAAAAATGGGAAATTTTTGAACAAAATTTTGTTCTGTCGGAGATGTCTAGAAAAATTTACCTTTTAATGCTGATCAAGAATATATATGGTTTATAGGCTTTTACAAGCTTCTGTCTGAAATTACAATACCCTCCAAGGGCATAAGAAACTATAGAAATACACATGAAATTGTATATTAAATTGCTTGTAAATACTATTTTTCAATAGAAAAGCTGTTCCAACTGTCATTGTGACCTAGATAGATAAATCAATAGATAAATCAATCAAATACAACTTTAATTGCATTTTTAAAACTTCTTTTAAACCGTGTTTGTTTTACCAACACTTATTATTTATCTTATCGAGAAAGGTCTACTTTGTCGCAATGATAATTTTATTATTCAGTTTGCAGCCTTCTTAGGGCTCCATATTATATTCTTACATTAATTTTCTATACGATTTATCTCTTCTCTTCTTTTATTTTGTGTTGGATTTTATAAAATTATTTCTTTGACTTGATGTGTGATCCCTTTCTTCCTTGAGTAGAAGGTCTTATTTAGACCAAAAAAGAGCTCGACTTTTCACAGGCAAAGCCTTGAAGCGGAACCGTCTTGGATCAACTTTTACCGGTCTCTTTATATTTTTTATAATTATAAATATATATGTTTGTTTTCTTTGCATATTATATAAATATATTGACTCTTCTACTTCTGTTGTATTTATCAGTTGTTGGAGGAAATAAAATCAAAAGATAATGTTACAAACTTTGTATTTCTGTTCTTGTTTTCCATCATTCATTATTATTTTTTTTTTCGGCCTGAAAGTTTTTCTCACATTCCTAATGACAGCCAATGGGCAGTCGCAGTTGCGGCCACCGTCGGGGAAATCATCATTTGCTTTTGGCCATAAATATCAAATTCATATTAGTTGCCAGCCAAGTGGAACCCCTTTGGCTTATCGTGTGAACTAATCTGAGGGGAGTCGCTGTCGCTGTCGGAACTGGAGTCGTCTTCGTCCGTCGTCTTCGTAGCTGTGAAATGATGTGCGAGTCCGTGAGCATGGTACTTCCTCCCCTTTCTGGGACCCCTGGTTATAGTATATAGTAAATATATATATATATATATATATATATATATCAGTCGTATAGTATCATGGACCGATTGTTGACCGTCGTCTCGTCTTCGCCGCTGAAATTGAAGCCCGGCCTGCGACTGCCGTTTGTTTGCAGCTACTTTATTACACCACAAAAGACCCAAGACGCTGGCGAAGAAGCGTCTTCTTGAAGGTTTCTGCCCTCTTGCCAGAATGTACATACACTTGGAGAAAAATGTACACAAGAAAATTAACAAACTTATACTATAGATATACAAATTCAACTCGTTTACTATGGAAATACTTTCTTAAATACAAGATGACATTTCTTAGTTTATTTACTTTGCAGTTATCAATTTAATAATAAGACCGTATGGGAAATGGATCACAACTAAGGAGAAAATATTTGCATTCTTTGAATCAATATTTTATATTTGATTTTTTTATTTTCGATTTTTATCCATAGTTTTATACGACAATTTTTGGCACAAAATCAAACTTTAAAACTCATAACTTAGCCAAAAAAGCATTAATTTCAATTCGGAAAACTGTTCTATGCTGGGTTTTTAAAGGTTTATAAATCTGCATACTCAATCTAAAATTTAAAAATATTCAAATTTAATTTAATATTAATTTTAACGATGTAACCCCTAACATTTTGAAAAAATTAAAAAAAATATTTTTTTTTTCGGAGATGGCTTAAAAGATTCGCCTGTTAATGCTGATCAAGAATATATATGATTTATAGGGTCGGAAATGACTCCTTCACTTTCTTTTAAGCTTCTGACTGAAGGTCCATTACCATTTTTGAACCGATATTAACTATATTTTAATATGAAAATTTTGCGACAAATTAAAATTTAAAAATCTCATAATTATGCATTATCTCATAAAAAGCATTAATTTCAATTCGGAAAGCTTTCCTATGTTTGTTTTTATTAGATTAACAAATCTGCATACTCAGTTTAAAATGTTTAAAAATTCATATTTTTATAAATTTTTTAAATTTTAACCCCTTATAAAATGTTCAAAATTTTAAAAAATTAAATTTTTGTCGTACATAGCTAGATCGTCTAAGCTGTTAATGCTGATCAAGAATATATATGTATTATAGGGTCGGAAATGACTCCTTCACCGGTTTGTGAGCTTCTGACTAAAATAATAATACCCTGAAATACAATCTCCATCTAGGTATAGGAATAAATATTATCTGTTTATAGTTTCTATATATTATATTACAATTCATCAAAGTTTACCCTGAGCCTTTATTCTAAAAATAAACGTACATCCCAGATTTATCTTTAAAAGTTTCTATTTTTTATATAATTTGTATGAGGTCTTAATTTTTTTCGAGTGCAGACCTTGCAGTGTATGCTTTTTGTCGCCGAGGGTCTCGCGTTGCAGTTGAGTGCCCCTGACTCCGTTCTGGCCAAAAGAAACACATTAAAAGCATATCAGGTGAAATCATCGGTCTGTTCTCAGCGTTTGTCAGTTTGCAGGTTGCAAGTTGCTTAGTTGCTAGTTGCACGTTGCAGGTTGCTAGTTACAGGTTGCAAGTTGCATAGTTGCTAGTTGCAGGTTGCCAGTTTCTTAGTTGCCATTTGCCACGCACTCGGCGGAAGACTCTTCTGACTTTGACCAACAATTTTTGTAGATAGCCAAAAAACAATCAAGCCTTGTTTGATCTCTGTCGCCTCTTAAGACAATGGATCTTTGGATCTTCGGATCCAAAAAAAAAAAAAAACAAAACTGAAATCAAAGGTAACAAACTGTCATCAGATGTCTCTGGCTTTCGGTCCCTTATTTTTTGGGGCTTGGCCCACGCGATTTGGCCACATTTGATTGCCATTGTCTTGTCGCGTTGATTTGTTTCCATTACCAGGCATTGTCTGCGTCGTCATCTTCCTCGGTTTCAAAATTAACCAGGGGTATATGCGACTATAAGAGGGTTTTGGCCATAAACTGGACCCTTTGTGAGCTTAAAATTATTTTAAAAAATTCGTATAGTACATCTGTCAGGTAATTTTAAACACACAGTTAAAGTTTATAGTTGAAAATGCAATAGAAACATTTAAATAACTTTGTTGTTTGTCCATCTACAAACTTATAATTTGGTATGTGGCTATTTTTTACAATTTTCTATATAGGTGTTAAATTTTATCAAAATCGTACTACAGTTACATACAGTTGTTATAGGAACTTTAGGATCTATGTACTATATGTCCATGGATTAACAGGCTTTGGTTTTCTGAATCAACTGCCTTACTTGTGGTATAGTTTATGTTTAACTACATAACAAATGGGGTATATTATTGGATTTTATTAAAAGATTTAGACAAAGTCCCTTGGACATATGAGCAAATGTATCTGAGAATGCATCTTTGGGATATTCTGAGCATGTACCTATGACTATATCCCACGGAGTAATCTGAGAAAGCAACTGAGAAGCAATTTTAGAGAGTATCTGCTTATCTCTTTGGTATCTAAGGGTATAGTTCCGATAGTTTTCACAGTATTAATTGTACATGCATCCCAAACACCGGACCTTCTCCTCGAGGCAAATTGTCTCCAAATATTGAGGCTTTGGCTTCAATTGTTGCAACTCAACGTTGGTGTAGCGCAGGACACGTCTGCCCCTTCGGTAGATTTGCGGCAATTTGGTTGGCCAATTTGGCTGATATGTCCAACTGGGCACATTGTGGTTACCTGCCGGCGGATTAACTGGTGGATCTCCTTCCTCACTGGTCAAGGGTACATCCATAGCTCCCTCCGATGGTGTATCCATGGAACTATCCTGGGCTACAGTGGCATTCCGTTTGGCCTCCCGCTTGGCCTCTCGCCTGGCCTTCCGCTTGGACTCCCGTTTGGCCTGAGCCTTGGCCCGTCGATGCTCATCCCACTCCTTGGCGGTGGGTATATAACGTCTGGCTTGTTCGGGCTTCGCTGGGGATTCCACCGATTGCACTGCCGGCAATTCTGGCGGGGATGATGATGATCGTGTGGGTGCAGACGATACTGAGTCCATTTCCTTCTGCTTCTGCAGCCTCTGCTTTCTCTCCTCACTCATCTCACGGAGCACCCTCTCGATGCGTTCCCTCTTTGCAGACCGCAGACGATCCACCCGTGACCTTTCCTTGGGTGAATATCGTATCGGAGAGTGCGAAAGATGTATAATTGGCTCCGTGCTTTCATCGGTATTGGAATCGGGGATCATAGGACTCCGGCTACGTCGTTGTTCCGTCAACATGATGGCCTCCAGAGCCACCTGGCGATCGTGATCACGTCGCCGTTCTTCGGCAGCCCGGCGCTTCCTCTCGGATTTCGAGAGGCGCTCCTCATGGGGATGCGATTCAATCAAGGATGTGCTGGAGACAATTTCCCCGCTGTTATTCAATGGAGTTTCATGTCGTTGCTGCTCCTTCTCCTTCTCCTTCTCCTTCTTTTTGCCAGCCCTCACACGGGGCACAATCATATATTCCTTGTCGTTCAACAGAACCACCTGAGAACCATGACCAACTATTGAAAATAAGATATATTAAATATTAATTAGAAGAGTCTAGATGGGAGAGATGGAACCTCTTATTGGCATATTTGGAAATTCATTGTCATCCTCCAGAGCGAAGAGGTCATCGTTAGAGCCAGCATTCAACTGGGTCGTGGCATCCTTCTTCTGGCGCGGCACAAACTCCTGGGCATACACATTGGGATATTTCTTGCCCAAAGGTTTCAGGTCATTTTCTTCTGCATTTCTGTATTGACGCGGCACAAACTCATTGGCATTCGCATTTAGCTTCACCTTACCCGCTCCATCGCCAGCAGCTCCAATAGTTTTGTCCACATCAAGGTGTTGCTTCGTGAACAACAGCAAATCGGGACAACTTGAGGCTCGAACTATTTTATTCTCCATTTTATACACTTATTTTCGGGATTCGGTTCCAGTACGCAAACACACACAGCTTTACTTGGTTGGACAAACAACTGAAAAACCATGGCCTACTTGGAATAACATTTACACCAAGTTGTGTATGGTAACACTAAATACAATTAATAGGAATGCAAATTGAGATGAACAAAATTCGATATGATATATCGGTAAGGATATTGCACTCCATATATTATCGATAATACAGCAAACTTTGTTTTATCATAATTTAAAGTATCAAAAATTAACTAAACTTTGATATATTGAAATTTAAAATATTAAAAAACTCACAAACTATGCTAAAGTATTGAAAACCATAAGATATCCTAATTTAAAACATCTATATTGTCGCAAGCTTCGATATATCGGAGTTTAAATTATAAAAAAATATCATAAACTTTGATATATTGATAAAAATCAAAATTATGGATATAAAATATATCAAGAACTGGGTATTTGCTAGACATAATTTCCCTATAAAACAAATTAGAGGGTATCTAGGGCATCCATGGCTACGTTAAGACTCGTAACACGTATCGTGTCGCCTGATGCCACGCCTTGGCTTTTCGTAAGAGTGGCATGTAAGCAATAAAGCTGAATAAAACTGTATAAAAAATACGAAACATATGAAAAAAAAAAAAAACAGAAACCGACATAAGAAATAAGAGCACACGCCGTCCGTGCAATTAGTTTAATGTTAGTGGCCGCACCTAGGCCTCACCCAGCCTCCCAAGATCCCAAGATGCCAGCTCCCCGATCTCCAGTTCCCAGCTTCCAGTCTCTCCATTCCCAATCCCCAATCCCCAATCCCCTCGAGCTGTCGAGCGGGGTTAACTACTGTATCTGGATGTGTGCAGTGAGTCATGGCGATCGATTGAGAGATTTATCCAATCGATAATTGAGCAAGGCCCGCAGACAGTTGCACAATATGTGTAGCACTCCGATTATCGATCGATCTATGGTAAGCGGTGTGAAGATGCTTAGGCTTCGGGATGTACATATATATAGCGAATACACATTAGATGAAACATTAAGTTGAGTCTATAAAGTTGAGTTTATAAATTACACATACATCTTGGGATTTAAATATTGATACATATACTGCTTAAAGTCGAATATTAATGAATTATCTAGTTTTAACATATTTATATCTTGTTTGATTCAAAGATATCTTTTATTACTCCAGAATTTCGGTATTAGTTTTATGAACATCGGAATACTTTATAATCAAACTGCCAAAAAAACAGTTGTTAAATGTAGAGGATCAGTAAGTATCATTCAACAGTGAATAACTATGATCAGTATTTAACAACGAGCAGTAAGTAACTCTGAACAGTAAGTATCAATGAACATTAAGTTACTATGAACATTAAGTAACTATGATTAGCAAACACCTATGATCAGTAAGTATCTATGACCAGTATGTATGTATGTATGTATGTATGTATGTATGTATGATCAGTTACTAACTTTGAACACTAGTAAACAATGACTTGCAACTTTTGTAACACAACACATTTCTGGGACGAGGCCGGCAGCAGGCACTTCGTTCCGGGGATGTTAGAACTAGTTGGGAATTATATGTACAGATACGCGAGATTTGATTTGGAACAAATTTAAGAGCATTTGAGTGAAACTATGGATTTATTCTTCTATATAATTTTACAAGTATATAAATCGGATCATGGCGAATCGGTGGACTATATATATACATATATACATATATATAGTTGCTATAGGAACAATCGGAAAATATAAAAAAACACAAGTAGAACTTTTCCAGTTTTCAACAGATTTTCGTCAAACTTGATATATAGTCATTTCAAATTAATCTAGAATTTTGTGTAAAATTTTATGAAAATCGTTAAAAATAGAGGAAAATGCAAAACGGTGAATGAAATGAAAGCAGGAAATACTTTATTGTTTTTAACTTAAATATATATGCAAAACATATTGTAATAATTCCTAGTGATAGAATTTTTATCTGCAAGGGTATATAAACTTCGGAGTGCCAAAGTTTGCTTTCTTTCTTGTTATGTGTGTTTTCTGTTATAAAGAAAAAACCCATCATTCATAATGAAAATCTGCTCAGAGATACTACATACATTCCGTGAGGCTGTTGTAGATCAAGTCTGCCGTGACATCTCAAAGCCAATTGAAGCTGTTTTATTTATGCTAAAATCCTCTTCAAACAAAGTCTTGAATGGAGGGGATACCTTATAACGTGTTACCGATAAGTGGGAAAAAGTCTCAGCCAAAAGGTGGAGCAATGCTACTACTCCCAGCCAACCCATTTCTAGTTGCAAACGGACTAATTGTTGTACGAACTCTACCAACTTTTGCATAATTTCCCTGCCATCAGCCCATACCATAATAACCCCATTTCGAGCAGAGAGGAGGGAGCATATCATTAATATACAAATTTATGTTTATTAAGCGAGCTGCTCAGTTCAAATTTATGCAACTGGGGTGGTGGCACGGCGCCTTCAGCCCTGGCAAAAAGAACACAACACTGCCTTTGGGCCCAAACTATACTAGTAACAACCAACAATTGGCCATGTGAAAAGTTTACCTTGACTGAGAACTGAAACAAGATATATACCAAAGACATGGAGACATGATGATGATGATGATGATGAGTAGGTAGCTTGGGCAGCCGCCACCTTATATGGGGCATTTGTGGCGCCCACCTAACAGCCAACACTCTCCAACTAAATTGAACAACAACAAAAAAACCCAATGAAATTCGGCAGCCAATTAACACAATTCAATGCTTGAAGGTTGCCAAATATCTCCTCAATTGGAGGCCATCAATGAGTTACTCTAACTTTGATTTATAATATTATAAGCAATATGATATATATATATGATTTTATAGATTTGTATTCCTACCTGCACGGCACAATTGAGAAAGCAATTATTTTGTCCAGGTCCATTGAGCAGACCCTTTGACGAGGGCTCCAAACTGGGTGACATCAGACTATTTGGTGCTCTCAGGAGTTCCAGGATTCGGTTACGCTCGGAACCATTTTGTAGTGAACCCATGGCATAGGTTTTGGGTGACGCCGAAGCGTACAGAGAGTTCGTTGTGGCAGTTGCTCCACTGGCTCCACTGGCCAGGCGGTACAATGTGCTGCCCGGTGTGGTGGTCATTCTGTGTCCACTCCACGCTGAAGACATTCAAAATAAGCTCGAGTTTTGTGAAGCTCTGTAAGAAAAATATAGAGAGAGAAAATGAGAGGTTAAAGACAAGTTTGCCACTCAATCACTGATGATCATCGGTCATTCCAGATTCCAGATTTGAGATTTAAAACAAGAGAAAGAAAAAGAGTTTCAAGATTTATGAACTGAGATCTGAGAGCCAAAGATGATGTGGGTTGGCCCTGACGTGTCGCCGGCAATTAGTTGCAGCTGTGAAAATATTTTCCCCCCCATGTCAATGTAGAAGCGTGATCACGAAGGTGGAAATATTACACGGTATATTATACACATAGCCTAGTTTCTATAACATATGTATATGACAACTAAAAGAACTTGAGAAAATACTATGAAATTTATTTATATATTATACACAAGAAAAATTATCATTATATTAGGGCCTATTCTAGCGGCATCATTTTCAACCTTTTTCCCAAAGCAAAACCTAAGATTATCAAGATTTTTATTAGGGTAAAAACTGAACCTTAAAGAAATTCATTAATGTGTGATTTTAATAACCAAATACATAGATAAATACATAACTCTGGCTGAACTGAATCTCTGATAATTTCACATAAATTAATCCAATCTTTATAAATATTGATGAAGCGAAATCGATGTTAGAAAAAATCCTTAAGAACGGCCACACCGGCTATTCCGGCACCGAGTCTCCACTCTCCACTCTTCCACTCACCACTATCCACTCTCCGCTCTCCACTCCCCCCCAAAAAAAACCGGAATGCTTGGCATTTCTAATCACAAAATCCCCCCTATTCAGCCACGACTCTGGCCAAGTTCTGCGAGTGAAAGTCGCGGCGCCAGAGATACTACCAACATTGGCAAGTAGCATTAAGTTGGCTTGTGCGTAGAAACGGTATTTGTGTCACTCGGAGAGCGGAAATGGCCAACTGGGATTATGCAAGCGCTAATTGCAGGCCAGTTGTCATTCGCATTCGCAATTCATTCATTCATTCATTCATTCATCAAGCCAGCATTTTTTATTTCTTTTAGATGTTTTCATTTTACCTCGCATTGCGCACATTTTCTGCTTGAGCCACGGAGAAAGCTTTCGCAAAATGAACATGATTTTTAAATTTAAAAAAAAAAAAACATTTAAAAAAAAAACATTTAAAAAAAAAACAGTAAAAAAAAAGAAAGAAAAAAGTTGATTAACTCAAGGTTCCACCGAGATTTGAACTCGGATCGCAGGATTCAGAGTCCTGAGTGCTAACCATTACACCATGGAACCCACCTGATTTTGATGAGCTCAAAAAGGTACCACATATTTCCAAAAATAACTATTTTAGCTCTTGGTATAAATAAATTACTTAATTACTAAAAATAAATTATAAATGCTGAAATGGCAATAATTTTTAGACTCGATTGAATATTTGTATAATTTGTTAAAGGGGTTTTGTCTAAAAAAAAAAGCAAGAAAACAAAAGAAATTTGTAATAAATCGAGAAAAATAATATACAAAAGAATAAAAAAAAAAATTAGTAATACTAAATGATAAATTTCATAAATTTGAGCCTAAGCTCGTTATTTTAATAGTTTTATCATGACCTGTAGTTAAAGATAAAATATATATATAAATAGATATGTATTTATATTTGTATATTAATAAATATATACCTATATAAAGCTATATATATCTTCATTTATGATACAAAAATTTCTTTAAACCTTTAAAAATTATAAGTAAAAACTTAAACTTTTTGATAAAATAAACATCTCTTTATAGGTCCCACCGAGATTTGAACTCGGATCGCAGGATTCAGAGTCCTGAGTGCTAACCATTACACCATGGAACCCCACAATTCTTTTTCCACTATATATTTTATATATTTGAAAACACTCCCGATATATATTATATATAGTTTATTCTTAACCAGATTTATTCAATATCAAAGTATTTTAGGTTGGTTTATATTCATAAACCAAACTTTCCAAGAACCAAACCTGATTGAATTTATAAAAATCAAACAAAAAAGAACCATAATTTCTAGGCTTTCCACAGCTACTTATAATTAAAATGTAAATCCAGATAGTCTTCCCAGAAGCTACTTAAAAAAATATATATAAATATAAATCCTTATACCCGAATTCCAAATTCAGTTTGATAAATATGTTTCAACATTTGAATATTAATATTTTCTTTATTTTTTGAGAGCCGGGAGCTTGCCCTCAATACCCGGAATCGATTTTCAAGTGGAAATCGGAGACTTCCAATGGTCAATTTGGGTTTTATGCTAATTACCAAAATATTCCCCCCCGAACGTTGCTAATTGATAAATGCTGCCTGGCATTTGTAGGCCCCTTAATTAACATAATCTGGCCCAGATGCACCTGCAACGGGAGAGCTGAAAGCCGAAGCAACTGTTTTGCATATTAATCGAGTTGGCCAAGACCGGGGGAAATGAGGGTAAAAAGCGGGGAAAAATGGAGGGAAAAAAGGTAGCCTGGTGCGGCATTTCAATTGCCGTTGCGTGAAATGCAACAATTTGTGGCAACAGGCAATCAACATTCGACATCCAACATCGTCTCGCTGTCAATTCAATTCGGAATCTATCATTGGGCCATGCAACATCATCTGGTAAATGCGGATAAACTTGATCATTTTCCACTCTTCTTTCTTGTTTATTATTATTCGGATAATTAAGAAATTCTTGTTAAATTACCAGCTGCAGCTCACGCAATGGCCAAGCGGAACTCTTTTCTTCGAAATTTATCATTAAACATGAAATACATAGCTGTATAAATATATTTTATAAACGAAGATTGTGTTTTTTCAACATATGAAAGTTTAAATAACTCATAAGAAAGGTAAAAATGCTTTAATTTTAATTCGGGGTGCTGTCCCGTGTTAGTTTTTGTTAGGTTCATAAATCTGCATACTCTGTTTAAAATGTTAAAAAATTTAATTTTTTTTTGTCAAATTTTGACAATTTTAACGATAACATATTTTTAAAAAAATTTTCAAATTTTTTTGTTTGCCTTAGATGGCTAGATCGACTCGGCTGTTAATGCTGATCAAGAATATATATGGTTTATAGGGTCGAAAATGACTCTTTCACAGCGTTTGAGGCTTCTGATTAAAATTATATTACCATTTTTTAACTGATATTTATCTATATTTTTATATGGCAATTTTTTCAATAAATAATAATTTAAAAATCCCGTAACTCATCCAAAAATGCATTAATTTTAATTCGGAAAGTTTCCTGATGTTAGTTATTATAAGGTTAACAAATCTGCTTACTCAATACAACATTTAAAAGAATTAAAATTTTTGTCAATTTTTTAAAATTTAAATAATGTAAAAGTAAGGATAAAAACTTGAAAAAAAATATTTAAAAATTTTTTCTTTCCTAAGTAAGCTAAATCGATTCGCTTGTTGATGATGATCAAGAATATATATGGTTTATAGGGTCGGAAATGACTCTTTCACAGCGTTTGAGGCTTCTGATTAAAATTATATTATCATTTTTTAACTGATATTTATCTATACATTTATATGAGAATTTTTGCGATGAATCCAAATTTAAAAATTTCATAACTAAGCTAAAAAAGCATTAAATTTAAATCGGAAAGCTGTACCATGTTAGTTTTTATTAGATTAATAAATCTGCATACTCAATATAACATTTTTTTAAAGTTCAATTTTTATCAATTTTTCAAGACTTGAATGTTGTAAAAATAACGACAAAATTTTGAAAAAAAAAATTATAACATTTTTTTTGTTCAGATATGGCTAGATCGATTCGGCTGCTCATGCTGATCAAGAATATATATGCTTTATAGGGTCGGAAATGATTTCTTCACATATTTACAAGCTTCTGACTAAAATTAAAAATATTCTGGAAGATTTAAATTAACTTTAACTGTTTTATTAATTTATAAAAAGAGTAAGGTAAAGTTGAGCACACTGCAATTCAAAGGGTTTAATATTATAATAATATACTGCACAATCTGCCCAGAAAGAACAGTTTCTCCAAAAGAGAGAATGAAACCAAGATCGCCCAGTCACGCACTCGCATTTTCGCGACAATTACGCCGAGTCGAAAGCTAATGGGATTTGGGATTCGGGATTCAGATTCAGATTCAGATTTCAAGCCCAATGGTCACTCCACCGTGGTCATTATCATCGAGTCAGAGACGTAACCCATGCTGGCGCCAGCAGCTGGCCAAGATCGCTCCATTAGTCAATCTACAGCGAATGGTGGACAGTGGGATATATGTACATATAACATGGTATGGCTGGAAGTGGATTGACCTCGTCGGAAAAACGTGACATAATGCAAATCACACAGGGGCCACCAGGTAAGATAATAAGCCTCAAGCTTGGAGCTCTTTCCGAGCTCGGTTTCAGCTCTTTTCAAAGATTTGAGATGAAGAAAAACTTAATTGGCCGCCAAATAAAAATTGTGAACAAGTGTGGAGGTGATATTTGTATATTCCCACAGCACAATTTATACTTTTAAGCTTGTTTTAAATATTATTTTTAATACTTTTCAAAGTCAAGAAAGATTTCTTAGATTTTTCATAGATTTCTTGATATAGTTGAAATAGTTTTTCAGAGCAAGGGAACTTTCTTTCTTTCTGTAGCTTGACTGACACATTACAATAGCTCAATCAAGTACACAGCCACCTGGAGCTGTTTTGGTGTCTACTTGCTCTCCGTTTCTCTCGATGATTAGGCCAACAATTGGTCTAGAAACTATGCCAAGAATGCCAAGCACCTGTTGGCATCATTTTCTGGCACACAAACGAGTTCCAAGTACCACCACAGACCCTGAGAAATCAATGCAAGTTGCCTTTGTTTATCGACTGCACTGCGAAATGAAACGCTTGAACGTGTTGGAGCTGGAAGCTTGGATACTTGGATACTTGGATACTTTGAAGCCGGCTTGGAGAGCTCTCCAAGATGTACCAAATTGACCAGCTGCTGCTCCGGATGAAGCCAGTGCCCACATAGATTTCCCCTCCTATTTCGTATTTAATTTGACA